CTCAGCCCGTCTCTGGGACACGCTGACCGGGATCCTGGGCCTGACCTGCGCCCTGCTCAGCCCGTCCTAGGCCCTGGAGGTTGTGTTTACCGGAACACGCAGGCTCTTACGAAAGGCTGCGAGGCTGCGCTTCCTGCGTGTCATTCCAGGCACGTGAGGGTTAGGCTTCATTCACAAAAGCCCGGGATTGGATTCATGGATCCAGCCCCCTGCGGGTTTAAATGAAGCACTTGGGGACTGAAAAGGACCCCGCAGACAGACTTCAAAACCGTCACTTCTTAAAAAACCACCTAGCAGTAATCAGATGAAGACACACCCTGAGTGACCCCGTATTTTAGGTTTCTGAGACTTAGGTTCTCTTAGCAAACACGGGGGATGCTCTGGTCAGTGAACTGCAAACTTCCGGGTGTCAGGGGTGTGTGCGCGTGGAGGCGAGGTGGGGGCTTCCAGGCGCACTTGGGATCAGCACCCATGTTCCTCACAGGAAGCAGAGCAGGGATAACAGGGGAGGGAAGGTGTCCTGCCTGTCACCCAAGCCCCTGCCCATGAGCTGGCCCTCCACCAAAGGTGGACTTCAGCATGTGTTACCCAGAGAGGGGCGGAGAGCGTCCCCCCACTGGGAGACGCCTCCACTCTGCACCCCTCGAGACCAGACACCCAGCCAGCCTGGGAGGAGGGAGGCCCCCATCGTGGAGTCCAGGGAGAGGGCAAAGGCTCAGACCCACGGGAGCCCTCGAGGGCAGTCTCTCCCCCAGGGAAAGACGAGACCTTCTCGGAGATTCTGGCCCCAATGTTCCGGGGCTTCCTTTGCCCGTGACAATGCCGGCCCAGACCCCCTGGCCCAGACCCCTGGCGCCAGGCCCCAGCAGAGGGGGTGCTCTGCTGTCTGCCTACCCACTCCCCTGAGCCTTCTCGGGGCCCTCGGGCTCCAGCACTGTCCGGCCGGAGACCAGAACTGAGCTCAAGTCCTTCAGCTTGTGGGGTCATCAGAGTCGTGAAATGCTTTGTAACGTCAGCATCCCGGGTCAGAGGTCATCCAGGGTCCTGTCCTCATCACCACACACACCCCTTGTGAACTTAAACTCATCCTTTTGCTACCCTCTCTGCGGGGGCTGTCTTGAAAGAAGTACGACCGGAAGGCTCCTTAGAAGCAAGGATGGGGAGACTACGTCTCACGTACTTTGGACATGTTATCAGGAGGGACCAGTTCCTGGAGGACATCATGCTGGGCAAAGTAGAGGGTCAGCAAAAAAGAGGAAGACCCTCCACAAGATGGACTGACACAGTGGCTGCAACAAGGGGCTCAAGCATAACAATGATTGTGAGGATGGCACAGGACCGGGCGGTGTTTCGTTCTGTGGTGGGTAGGGTCGCTATGAGTTGGGACCGACTTGACGGCACCTAACAACTGTAGGGGCAGGGCCCCCTATGGGGGCGGTGGTCAGAGAGCAAACTGCAGGGCTTTCTCTGCAACGCGTCTTCCAGAAGGAAAAGAGCATCGGAAGCATCAAATGCTAAAAGAGACTGAAGCCACACTCATCAGCAGCTGTGATCAGCTGACTCGCCTCTGGGTTTAATCTCCCAAGATTTTCCCCTTCTTTACACCAACAGGAACCCTGGTGGCACAGGGGTTAAGAGCTCAGCTGCTCACCAAAAGGTCGGCAGTTCGAATCCACCAGCCGCTCCTCGGAAACCCAGTGGGGCAGTCCTCCTCTGTCCTGTAGGGTGGCCATGAGTCGGAATCGACTAGGCGGCAGTGGGCTTGGTGTTCTTGGTTTACACCAACAAGCAGGGAAGAAACGGACGGAGCCCACCTAGCCACACGGGCTCTGGGCCCTGCCAACTCCTCTCAGCCACGGGGGCCCCGACGCGCTCAAGGCCACTCACCTGCGGGGGTGGGGTCTGTGGCTGCAGCTAGAGGGGCCCCCCCGCCCCGCTGCTTGCCCTGCCAGCCACCCTCTGGCCACGCCTGAGGCCATGCCTGCGTGGGGTCTGGGGGCCACAGCAGGTCCTCAGTAACCTCCCCGACCCCAGCACTAAAGGAAGGGATCTGAGGACCCAGAAATGCTAACTCAGGACCTTAGTGACTTGCCCAGACCAGCAGGGGTGGGGCTGGGATAACTTCTAATTCCACACGGCCTCTCTGGAGTTTGATGAATGCTTCTCAGGAGGTCGGGACAGCCGGCTGAGGAGCCTCGTGCAGGTGGACACTGGGGTCAGAGCATTACGGCACCTACTACGTGCCGGCACGCGCCCCCACTGTGTGGACAGGGAGATGGGCTCACAGCGGGAGGGCTGCCCGGCTGGAAGGAGGGGCTCCCACGGCCCCCAGGCCTGCACTCACTGCTATGTGGTCAGATTCCGGCCCCTAGGTCCCCTCCGCCTGCTGGACCCCCCAGGTGATAGGCCCTTTGGGGTCGTCCTGTCCCTACATCTACCTCCTGTCCCATCGGGGGAGGGACAGGGACTGGGTGCAGCCTGAATCTCAAATCTGCACCCAGGTTTCTCTGTTGTTAAACAGAGGGTGGCCTCCATTCTTGGACCCACCCCAGCTGTGTAGACCCGCCCTCGAACCCTCCATGGTCAGGAGGTGTCTGGCTGCTGGAGGTGCTCCTGGGGGGGGACACAGCAGATGGCGTTGGGTGGGGGCAGCCGCAAGTGCCCGCTCAGGCGTGACCAGGGCCAAGTCTACGCTCTTATCCCCGACAGCTGGCAGCTCCGTGACAGCAGTGGGGCCCCGGGGTTCCCTGAGTGGGTGCCTTCCTCAGGAAGGTGACAAACAGGGCCTGGACCCGTGAGCTGAGGGTTCTGGCCCTGGACTGAAGGGAGTCCTTACAAAAATGGGATTCCATGAAACTCATCAAGAATGGCTTTTGGTTACCCATCCTAGATGCCCCACGGGGACTTTCCTGGGCAGCCACTGCGGGTGGTGGTGCAGGCTTGGGGTTGCTCCAGGGAGAGGCTGCTAGCCGGGCCTGTGTCCGGGGAGCTGGCTGGCAGGAGAATAGTGGTGGAGATGTTTGGCTCAGAGCCCCAGCACACAGGAACTGCCCAAGGTACTGCTTCACTTGGTCCCAAGAGCCAGCCCCTCATTGTAACATTTGGGGTACTGAGCCGTGCCTTCGGGCTGATGCCATGGGGTCCCCTCCCTCCCGCTCCAGAAAATGGCTTTGCGCTGGGATTGTTGGTGCTTGTTTTAACAGATGGGGTGCAGTCCCTGTCTCCACAGCCAAGCGAAGAACATCCCAGAATAAGAGTGCTGTTGAAGAGGGGGAGGCCACGGCTGTGGGGGGCCCAGCTGTCAGGGGCACACGCGGGTCCGCGTGTCAGCAGTGCCCACCCTCCAGCCCCCCCCTTGCACCACCCAGTTCAACCACAGCTCCAAGTCTCTTGGAGAGTGGGGTTTCTGGGAGCCAAAGGGGGCAGCCCTGCTCATGGACAAGGGGGCTGGGGGTCAGAAGGCAGAATGCAGCCGTGCCCCAGGCTGAGTGTTCAGTTATGGGGCCCCCACCCGTCTGCACCCCCAGACCAGGCGGCCACCGGAAGCTCAGGACACACACGGTGGATGGCCACCCAGTCCCTGTAGGTGTGAGCTGGAAGCCCAGACTTCCCTGCTGCCCGCTGGGCGAGGCAGGCCTGGCTGTGACCAGCCGGGGCTTCCCGCCCTGGGTCTGGACCCCAAAGCTGGCATCAAAGCCAAAAATGATGTGGACACCGGCCCAGGGAGAGACATGGCACACACTGGGAGAAACCACAAAGCAAAGCTGACGGACAGACTCAGGGACATGTGTCTGGGATGAGGCCCCTCAGGCAGGGCCCAGAACAAGAAAAGACAACACAGGGCTGATGGAACATTCTAGACCATGCTGACGGGCACAGGGGCTCTCCTCCACTAGGGTGTGATGGGCACGGGGTGGAGACAGACACTGGCTCTTCCCCTTACCCTTCTTCTTCCGGACGGAAGCTTGCAAACAGAAAGGGGAGCTGTGAGTCACGCTTCACGGCGGCACGCACCCACAGCCTCGTCTTGGGCCACTCTTGGACAGGGCACCACATCGAGCAGGCCGGGACGGGTGGCATTTGGGGGGCCAGAGGGAGGGCAGGCGGGGCTGAGGGGTCAAGGGCTTCTAGAAGGAGTCGGCAAAGGCTGGGGGCAAACCTTCCTCCACAGCTTCGTCCTGGAAACCCGGCTACCACAGGGACAGGCTCTTCCCTTCAGGTTTGCCCTGTGAGTCATAAATCTACTTCCTGGGGCAGACTGGGCGCTTTTCTGGGGCCTTCTTTCTTAATTAGCAGCCCTGCTAGTGCCCTGCCCAAGTGGAACACATGTCTGTAAGGACGAGTGTGAGTGGAAGCTGGGCCACTGTGGAGACAGCCCTGGATGGGAAGGCAGAGGGGTGTTCCCTGGGGCTCCGAGGTCATGAGACACCAGGGGCTCAGGAGACCCTCAGGCTCCCTTCTTGTCTCTCAGGCAGATGTTCATGGGAACCCCCCCTTTTATAAGAAGATGACTTGTATGCTGGTCCCCCAGGGGAGGCTGACACCGCCAAGGGCACACGACAGGCCCTTGAGGAGTGCATGTGGCACCCTGCAGCACTCCAGAGAGGCCTCTGGCGGGGAAGGGCGGTGGGGGTCCACGTTTCTATCACCCGCAGGTGCGGGGCCCGGCGCCTGGAACCCAGCGGTGGCTTTCCAGCAAGTCTCGTTCTCACAGATGCGGTGCTGGCGCGGAGAGGCCGGGAAAAAAGGGGCGGGGGATCTACTGTTTCCTGGGGGCAGGGGATCTAACAGCTCGTAGGGTTGGGGGGATTGACCGGTTCCACAGGAAAGGGGAATCGACCGGTTCTTGCGGGGCAGGTATCAACTGGTTCCTGGGAAATGGGGGGAGCCCCACAGCAGAGAGGATTTTCACGAAGACTGAGGCCGCGGCGTGATCCCGAGATTCTAGACTCGGACGCAGTGGTGGACGAGGGGCCTCTGGCTCTCCAATTTAAGGCTGGGCTCAGATGGACGCAATGTTGGTCACAGACACACCGCGGGGCTCAGATCCCGCCCCGGACACCCAGCCTGGTGGCCGGCCTTGGGCAGGGCCATTCGCGTGGAGGATGACACGCTTACCCTTCGCTGCTGACCACGCCCCGGGGCCGTGCTCGGAGCTGAGCGGCCCTTCAGCCCTCCGTTCCGGCCAGGCTCAGTACTCTCGCCCCTGAGGTGCTCCTGGGCACCCTGGGCCTCCTTAGGTGACACGGTACTGGGCCTCCCAAGGCTCACAGTCAGCTCCAAAGCCACCGAGCACTGTAGCAGCCCCGGGCACACGGCGCCCTCCCCAGCCCCCAGGCCGGGGTCCCATGGCTGGAGCAGCTCTTTTTTCTGGAGACCTTTGAAGAGGGCCCTGGGAGCTCTCTAAGCCTGCAACCTACGGATGCCCCACTACCTCCCCAAAATCCTTTCTGGGGGCAAACACTCAGGTCTGAGCGTGCTAGGGGTGGGGCCAAGTGGATGTTAGTGGGGTCCCCTAGACAGCAGTGGGGAGCTTACCTTTATCCACTAGTGAGAGGCCCAAAAATTCAAAACAAAACAGTGTTAGATAAGCCGAGAAGGCAAAACCGCAAAACCAGTCCCAGCAGCCCCGGGCCGGCACGGAGGCGTGGAGCCCGGGCACAGCCCAGGGGACACGGGGCTCCTGCCGCCGTCCTCGGGGGCAGAGGGCGGGAGGGGCTCGGGGTTGTAAGGAGACACTCATGCAGAGCATAATGCACGGTACGGCGGGCGGCATGGGGAGGCATGGGGAGGCAGGCCCCGGGCGCAGGGACGCGTTGGGCAGGCGCATGGGGAGGCAGGCCCCGGAGCAGCTCTCTTTTCTGGACACCTTTGAAGAGGGCCCCGGGCACGGGGACGAGGTGGGCAGGCGCATGGGGAGGCAGGCCTTGGGCGCGAAGACACAGGCTTGGGCATAGGCGGGCGATGGCGAGTCTTACCGAGCTCCTCCAGCTCCGAGGTCATGGACTTGGAGCGCAGGGTGAGCGCCGTGGTCGGAGCGCGCTTGGGCGGAGGGGGAGCTTGACGGACAGACAGAGAGACAGAGGATCAGTGCCCCGTTCCTCATCTCCCACATCGTACCCATGCTTCTAGGAGCACGGGGGACCCGGGCCCCTGAGCCTGCCCCTTTCTGGCCCCAGTGTGGGGGGCCCCGCCAAGGTCACCTTGCTGGCCTGGGTGTGCCCTGCCGCCGGGCTCTGAGGACTCGGTCTTGGGCAGTCACCACACACAGGGGTGTCAGGGCGGACACGATGGGCACGCTGGGGCTGCTGGCCTCTCAGGCTGGGCTCTCTGGGCCCTGAGTGGGAGCACGGGGGGCTTTTGCAGGGGGCCTGTCCAGTGCACTGTGCCTGCAGTGACTAAATGCCGGGAAGGTGCCAGCAGCCTATGTGCACAGCCTGTGTGGCCCTGAGCTGATGATGCCCAGGCCACCCCCGCTCCTGTCAGACTGGGCAAAGCCCTCTCCACGTCCCTGTTTTGCCGATGCAGGACCCGGAGGAGGACGCCCTGGCCACCCTGCTCACAGCTCACACCTGCAGCCCGCTCACAGCCCCTCCTCAGGTCGCCTGAGCCCCCGTGCGCCGGGGCGGGACACGCAGACAAAGGGGGAACGTGCTAGTCCAGCCCCTTCCCACCGCTGGGACCTGGGGGACAGCAGGCTGAACCAGGAGACCCACTGAGCACAGGCGAGAGGGCACGCCCACCAGTGCCAGCCCCTTCCCGGGGGTCTCCTTCTCTTCCTGCTCTGGGGAGACTTCACTAGCTCCTTCACAGAAGCAGGGAGGATGTCCACACCTGAACCTGCTTTCGCCGACATGGGGGCTGTGTTCACAGGTCTATCTAGGGCGGCATGCTCAGCTGACAGAACAGCCCCGACCCCACAGCCACCGCCGCCCACTGCCACCCGTGTGTGCAATGTGCTTCTTCAGGGACCTGAGCCATCTGCACAGGACAGTGGGGGCTGGGAGAGCAGGGGTGTCAGAGGATTAGGGGGCTGGGAGGGTGGGGCGCAGGGGTCGGCCGGGAGAGAGGGGCCAGGGAGAGCGGGGCGCAGGGGTTGGCCGGGAGAGAGGGGCCAGGGAGAGCGGGGCACCGGGGTCGGCCGGGAGAGAGGGGCCAGGGAGAGCGGGGCGCAGGGGTTGGCCGGGAGAGAGGGGCCAGGGAGAGCGGGGCACCGGGGTCGGCCGGGAGAGAGGGGCCAGGGAGAGCAGGGGACAGGGGTCGGTCGGGAAAGTGGGGCCAGGGAGAGCGGGGGGCAGAGGTCGGCCAGGAGAGATGGGCCAGGGAGAGTGAGGGTGGCAGGATATTAGGGGGCTGGGAGAGCAGGGGGCAGGGGCCGGCCAGGAGAGTGGGGCCAGGGAAGGTGGGGCCTGCGCACCTTTCTTCCTGGCTGTGTCGTCTGGGTCCAGACTCCGGGTGACCGTGACCACCTTGAGGACCAGGTGGTTTCCGCCCTGGCGGATCATGTTCACCACCTGCCGATGGCCCACCTTCACCACATTCTCATTGTTGACCTGCAGGAAGACACAACAGCAGCGTCAGCAAGGTGAGCCCCGGGCAGAGACAGCAGCCACCCACCGCGACCGCAGCCAGCTTTCCAGCAAGGTGGGCACACTCAGGGACGCATGGAGACAGTGGGACACTGTGTGCATGGCACCACGCCATCTGTCCGTCTGTCATGCTGTGGTGGCTTGGATGCTGCTGTGATGCTGGAAGCTGTGTCACCGGTATTTCAAATACCAGCAGGTCAACCATGGTGGACAGGTTTCAATGGAGCTTCCAGACTAGGACAAGCTAGGAAGAAAGGCCTGGTGATCTACTTCAGAAAATTGACCAGTGAAAACCCTATGGATCACAACAGAACACTGACATAGTGCTGGAAGATGAGCCCCCTGGGCTGGAAGGCACTCACAATACGCAGTGGCCGCGACCAGGGACTTGACCAATGACATGAAAATGGGGCAGGACTGTGAGTTGGAGTCGGCTGGATGGCATCGAACAACTACAACATTTTTGGAAGTTTTGGGGGAACTAGAATGGATGCCACTGTTATTGTGTCGGTCACTTAAGTGGGGCTGTGGAGGCAGGGGAGGCCGGGTGAGGTCTGGGGAGGCCAGATGAGGTCGGGGTAGGCCGGGGGATGTTGGGGGAGGCCAGGGGAGGCCGGGTGAGGTCTGGGGAGGCCAGATGAGGTCGGGGTAGGCCGGGGGATGTTGGGGGAGGTCGGGGGAGGCTGGGGGAGGCCAGACTCCCTGCGGCCGTGCGCCCTTCCTCTGCAGATGGCAGTGGTCCGCACGGCGCTCGGCAGGGGCCGGTAGGGAAGGACCGGTTCTCGTCTGAGTTGTGCATCCTTAGGTCTTTACGTGTGCAGGCCCGGGAGCGCTTTTCCCGGCCGAAGCTACACGCAAAAAGCCCACAGGAAGCTCACAGGTCCCGGCTGCAGCCGCTACAGCTTTCCTTTCTGTTTTCACAGTGAAGACATGGCACCTAATTGTTTCGCACGTATCTGGGGACACCACCACGCTGACACGGCCCATTCCTCTGGCCCATCTTCCTCGCGGCGCCAGGGACCTCTGCAGTCACCGCCCGTGAGTTCACGGAGCTCTCTGCCCCTTTCAGAGCCCTGACTTCTTCTGCCTCGCTGTCCCCGCCATGGCAAATGCACCCGGCAGGGACACACATACACACTCCAGGTGACACCGCAAGGCTGCGGAGGGGTTGGGTGTCAGATCCTGCACCTGGCCCCTTGGCCGAGTGACCTCATTGCACAAAAACGCTCAGCCTCGGAGCTGTTCGGTCAGCGCCCACTGTCTCTCCCCATGATGGACCGAATGGTGTCCCCCAAAGAGACACGTTCAGTCCCAGCCACCCCGTTGTTTGAAGCTGTCCAGTTTCCTGTCATTTGTCACGGCAGCCCCTGCACAGTCAGACACTAGGCTTGAGTCAGGGTCCCCAGACCTCGGGCCCATGTTCTTTCATGACACTTGGTGTCCCGTGGGGCCTGGGATAGGGGGTGGACAGCCTTGACGCCTTGACCTTGGCTCAGGGCTTGTGGAGCCAGACCCCCGCACCCTCTACACGGCCGGCATGCTCACTCCTGCCACGCGCTACTCCAGGGGCACGCCCTAGCCCCCCAGTCCTGTCATCTGAGGGCTGTCTGTCTAGGTTCCCCCAAATAGAACGTGATTCCTCCTTCACTGATGTGCCCCCCCACCCCAGTGCGCTGGGTGCACAGGAGGTCCCGTGGAAGCAGATCCTTCCAGAATCAGATGCTTCGTGTTCCCAGGGGTGCTACCTCCTGCTGGAGGGGACCTCAACAAGGACAGCCCTGGGTGGAGGGGAGGTGCAGGGAGGAGGGGCTGTCAGTGCAGAGGTCCTCCTTGCTGACCCTCATGGCCGTGCTGGGGACGCCCCCCATCCTCCTGTGAGCTGGGTATTGGTCCTGTGCTGCGGGGGCGGTGGGCTAGGGAGCCTCTTTCCTCTGAAGCACCAGAGAAGACACTGTTGCTCTTGGGGGAGGGGGGCTGTGCTTTAAGAAGGGGTCACCCAAGGAATGAGGTGCTAATGGTGGGTTCTCAGCACCACCCCTCCCCCAGCCCCCTGCAGTTACATACATTGCCCCAGGCTGGAGGTGGGAGGGGCAGGAAAGGCCAGTAGGCACCCCAGGGGTGGTGCTTTCTTGCTGTTTTGGTTGAAGGGAAGCCAGAGGCTCGGCCGAAGGAGCAGACCCCAGGGTGGCAAACATGGATGCTGCCCCCTAGTCCCAGGGCTGTGGCCAGTTGGGGCCACCTGGGTGGGGGCTGCGAGGGGGGCACAGAGCAGGGAGCAGAGTCCCCTCAGTACAGGCTGTGCAGTGAGCCCAGCCCTCGGGGATATCCATATAGAAAGACCCATCCCACCCCGGCCCGGCCCGCAGAGGTCTTATCAGAAAACCTCATCTTTCAACCGGGGTCCTCTCTGGACACAGGAGTG